CTCCATATATGAGCCCAATAGATGGTGGAGCTCTGAGTAACACTATTAAGTCATATGGGAAAGAAAATGCCCTTACAGAAAGAGATCCAGAGGAACGCTGGAAAACTACCGACACTCCTCATCCCTTATGCACTTAGAAAAATGAAGTAGCACAGGCTGGCTCCTGTCTCAGCCTCCTTAGTGCTAGGATTATAGGCATGTCACCATGCCCAGCGGCCTCTTTCCTTCTTTTTGGAGCACTTCCTATTGAGAACATATTTAGGGGTGCAGTAACTACCTTGGGATAGTGACAAAAGATTCTTTAACGCAGTGCAGATAAAAGAGGGCATTTTTCTTATCAGACATGTAAATTTATGAAGCTAATCGTGCAGACTCGGGACAAAGAAAGGGAGGCAAGGATAGAGTTCCCTATCAGAAGGAAGAGTATGTCAGCAGGTCCTCAGTGGGCTTTGCCTACATAGTAACAAAACAACCCCAATCTGCCCTTCTTTCTGCCAGTTCCCTCTCTTGCTGAAGAAGGCTCTTTCCTCCATCATTTCTTCCTCCTCCTCCTCCTCCTCCTCCTCTTCTTCTTTTTCTTCTTTTTCTTAAGACAGGGTCTCTCTGTGTAGTTCTAACTGTCCTGGAACTCGACATGTAGACCAGACTGGCCTCAAACTCACAGAGCTCTTCCTGCCTCTGCTTCTGGGGTGCTGAGATTGAAGGCATGTGGCACCACACCCAGCCCACATCATTTCTTCTTAAGGTATAACAAGAGTGTTGGATTTCTCTGCCCAACCCCCAGGAATTAACATGTAGAGTTAAAGTGACAGCAGAGACTTAAAAAAAATATTCCACCCCCACCAGAAATGTCAAAACCATGCATTCACTCAGTATGTAGACACAGATACCAGCAGAGTTTTCAAAACTTTACAGCGTCATGATAATTATAGCAAACATGCTGTATCGGCTGCTTTTGGGTGTCAACTTGACACAAGCTAGTGTCAATTAAGGAAATGCCTCCATGAGATCCAGCTGTAAGGCATTTTCTCAATGAGTGGTCAATGGGGGAGGGCTCAGCCTACAGTGGGAGGTGCCATCCCTGGGCTGGTGGTCCTAGGTTCTATAAGGAAGCAGGCTGAGCAAGCCAGGGGAAGTGAGTAAGTAAACAGCACTCCTCTATGGCCTCTGCATCAGCCCTTGCCTCCAGGTTCCAGCCCTGCTTGAGTTTCTGTTCTGACTTCCTCCAATGATGGAGTATGATCTGGAAGTGTAAGCCAAATAAACCATTTCCTCCTCAACTTGCTTTTTGGTCATGGTGTTTCTTTGAAGCAACAGAAACCCTAAGAAACATACCCAGAAAGTTGGCTGAAGAAATGGCACTGTGAACTTTCTCTGTTACTGATCGTGAAAACCTTATAGTACATTTTCTGCGCTAAAATGAGTGACCAGTACTCTGGTTCGCTTCCTTTTCTTTCTTTCTTTTGGTTTTTCGAGACAAGGTTTCTCTGTTTAACAGTCCTAGCTCTTGTAGACTAGGCTGGCCTTGAACTCACAGAGATCTACCTGCCTCTGCCTCCAGAGTGCTGAGATTAAAGGTGTGCACCCCATCCGCTGGCTTTTGCTTCCTTTTCTTTGACTTTTCTCTTTCTTTCTTTCTTTCTTTCTTTCTTTCTTTCTTTCTTTCTTTCTCTCTCTCTCTCTCTTTCTTTCTTTTTCTTTCTTTTCCTTCCTTCCCTCCCTTTCTCCCTTTCTAGATTTATTTCTTATGTACACAATGGTCTGCCTTTGTGTATACCTCCAGGCCAGAAGAGGGCACAAGATCTCATTACAGATGGTTGTGATCCACCATGTGGTTGCTGGGAATTGAAACCAGAACAATCAGTGCTCTTAACCGCTAGCCATCTCTCCAACCTATCTTTTTTTGGTTTTTCAAGACAGAGTTTCTCTGTGTAGTTCTGCCTGTCCTAAAACTCGCTCTGTAAATTAGGTTGGTCTCAAACACAGAGATACCCCTGCCTCTGCCTCCTGAGTGCTGGAATTAAAGGCCTGCGCCACCACTCACAAGAAAGAAATTTTGTTTGACCTCTTACCAGTCCTACACTAATTTTTATCACATGTAGGTGAGTTAGAAACTCAAAGGAATCATTTCTTTTTAAATTCATATATCTTACATTTAGTGTACAGATGTGCAGACACTACATGTAGAGGCTAGGACAATCTTCAAGAGTAGGCTATCTTCTCCTATTGTGTTCATTCAGGGGACCAACTCAGGTCATCAGGGCTTGGTGAAAAATACCTTTACTCAAAGAACCACCTTGCCAGTCCAGGACTTATATTTCTAGCCACCTTTTAGTTGTTTCTGTATTTTATGTTGTTGACTGTTAAGTTTTTTTTCGGACCAACAAACCCCTCCGCCAACGCAATAACCCAAATTAGACAAAATCAGACAGAATTAGAAGATGCTTAGGTTTAATGGATGCCAGCACTCCCAGTAGCCCCCTGGGTCACCCCCTCCAACCCCCACCCCCAGAAAAAACATGAAGATGGAAAAAGGAGAACCAGAATGACCATGGAAAACCCTGGACCACGTGTTCATTCTCTGGGGGCAGTTTAAATAGCCTGTGGGAGTGGTCTTGACACTCCCTGGGGAGGGTTCACCATTGGTGAGCTTTCTTGGATATGGAGTCTGAACTGTGGCCACTCCCAGAGGAGGGGGCTTGGAACTTTCCACCAAGCATTTACCATTGCTGGGTTTTTTTATTTGTTTGAGATCATGTTTTGTTGTGCTCCTTAGGCTGGTTGAACATCTGAACCTCCTCCTCAGCCTCGGGTACGGGCATTGCAGATGTCCTACCGTGCCAGGCTTTCGCTGCTCTTTTCTTTAAAAAAAGGCAGGAAAGAAGTGGGAGGGGGAAGAAGGAAATGATTTTTAGTTTATGTGTGTTTCCCTGCATGCAGTTATATGCATCACATGGAGTGCCCACAGAAGCCAGAAAAGGCATTGGGTGCCCTGGAGCTGGAATTACAAGAGGCTGTGGGCTGCCATATGGGCACTAGGGACCTGACTCCAGTCTTCTCAAGAGCAGCAAGTGCTCTTAACCACTGAGCCATCTCTCCGACCCTGAATGTATTAACTCTTCATCTAAGAGAATTTCCATTAGAGACATATACCATTTAAAACAGTCTTTCAGGGCAGCTGTGGTGGTGCACTTCTGTAGTCCCAGCACTCGGGACAATGAGGCAGGAAGGTTCCCAGTTTGAAGTCATCCTGATTACACAGCAAGACTCTCATTAAAAAAACATAAACAAAAACCCCAAAAGACAAAACAAAACCAAACAAAAGATTACCATTACAATCTGTTCTTTTATAATAGCTGTCAGTCTTGACAAAGTAAGCCCTCTTTTTGAGTTAGTCTAATCATAAATGTGAACAAGGAATTTATACATCTTTTCTGTAATTTTTTTCCTTTATGAAGAAATAAATGTCAGTTCAACTTAGGCTTGGAAAACTGGTTATTATCTTACCTCAAGTAAAGCTATTGCTTCTGTCCTGTATCTGTTATTTATTTAATATAGAAGACTATAAGCCACCATGTGGTTGCTTGGAATTGAACTCGGGACCTATGGAAGAACAAGCAGTGCTCCTAACCTCTGAGCCAGCCCCTGTATCTGTTTTTAAGACAGGGTCTTATGTGGCCCAAGCTGGCCTGGAACTCAAGTGTGTTAGTGGGTATAACCTTGAATTTCTATTCCTGCTTCTACAGCTGGGAATGTGCAGCCATGTGCCACCCGGCCCCATTTCATTCAGTTCTGGATGAATCCTGTGGTTTTTGTGCAAGGAGCCTACTAATTGAGCTACAAACCCACCTATATTACCCTCCCCCTTTTGCCATATACCACCATATCCAGATGGTACAAATTGTTTAAAATACTATTATTAACCTATCATATCGAACATAAAGAAAACCCTAGCTTTTGAGGTGATGGCTTCTCCTGTGACTGAATTTGGGGAGCATGCAAAACCTTGAAAACCTGGCCCTGTGTGTTCACATGTATACATTTTCCTCTTCTTACCGAAATCTCACTTCAGTAGTAGGAAATGTTACAAACCTAAAGTCTTCAAATTCATCAGTCAAAATATAATTAGGGTCTAGTAAAACTGTCATAAACATCAATTGATTTTAACGCTAGAAAAATATCCACGCTAAGCTGACTTACCACTTATATTTATTTATGGCTTTTGGGCATTCTAGAATGTATCAATAGAATATTCTTTCACAGACCTTTAAAAATTTAGTCACTTTGCCTCTACTTGCAAATGGATAATCATACCTAAAATAATCTAAATCAAGTGTGCGTATCGGATTGCATTTTATAAGCACTGTCTGAATCCACTTGAAGCGAACTTCGAAAGGATATTCAAACTCAAGAACTAGGCTTCTGCTTTATCTGGCTACTGCTTCTAGTGTCAGCTCTTTCTAGTTTCAAGATTTGCATGGCTGCTTTTCTGAGTTTGCTTCAAGAATTAGTCTTAACCCATACAGGAATTGCTCGAACTCGGCGGCCTCAGGTTCGAACTTATTTGCATCTTTGCCACTGCAAAGTCCATCCATTAACGAGGTGTGAGCGCGGCCGGCCTTCGCGCTCCAGCGCCGCCGCTCACTTTAGTGATGGTGGAGTGCCCAGTATCTGGGTCCTTTGCGCTCGTCCCTCTTACACGACACCGACTTCTGGGCGTTGTTGTTTTCATTTCAGTTCTCCCGAGCTTTCAAACGCACACAGCCCCGTCCTCCACCTCCGCTCCTCGCCCCCTCGGCCCGGGACAAGTAGGCGCGGTTTTCCCGTTCAGAGACAGATCCACGTCATCCGCGCAGGCGCAGGCTCCAGCCGGCGGGAAGGGGCTTGCGCTCGGCCCGCGGTAAACAAGCAGTGCGCCTGCGCTGGGCCAAGGGTTTTTGTCTTTTGTTTTGCATAGTAAAAAAAAAAAAAAGGCGGGGGGTGGGGTGGAGGACGCCGAGCGAACCCGCATCTCCTAAGACGACGAACTAGCTGGCTTTTCCTGCTTTAACTGTTTCTGCACCACCATGGAAGCCCAAATCCGACATTTCTGTCGGCCGGAGCCACCGTACTGAAGCCGAAAGGAAGAAAAGACATTTTTTTTTTTCTTTCTACGAAGTGGTGGGCGGTCCCCCACACACCACATTAAAAACCTCCCCAGCGCTGGCCTTTCCCCAGACAACGCGAGATCCTGTGCCAGGACGTGACTTCACACACCCCTCCCCCCGCCTAGATACTCAGTGCGCATGCGTGCAGCGTTTTGGCGCGCAAACGGGTTTCAAAACTTCCTGCTTGGTCACAGGTGGCCAAATCCGGCCCCTGTGGCTTGTCCGTCAGCGTTCAAGCCCGCAGCATTCCGTTCTTAGGGATTTTCGTTCGAAATTCCACTCTACTGTAGCTCGCCCCCACTTTTCTGTTCGTAGACGGGTCATGAGTTCTTGAGAGGCTTCAGCGAATCAAATAGGCAGAGCGGGAGTGGGCGAGCCCATCACGGTTTTAAAATAAAATGTTGAGTTTTAGTTGTACAGAGTGATAGCTCTGTGAGCAGCATAAATAAATAAGTCTGAGGGACGAAAGCTTTTTTTTTTATTGAAGACCTTGAGAGGCTGTGAATGTGGACAGAGGGATGAAGATGGGAAATTTTAAAGATGGAAGAGGTAAACGAAGACAGGACCACATGCTTGAGGAATGAGGCTAGAAGGAACCTCTAGAGGAAACTTAGCCTAAAGTGTCTGTGCGTATTTATAAACAAGGCAGACGTGCCGTTTGGTCTCTGGCAGCAAAGAGTGGCTTGGGAGTGCATGACTGAGTGGGACAGAAACATTTCCAACTGGGTCCTGAGCAAGAGCTGAGGTTGGCCTGGGGTCGAACAGGTAATAATCTGGAGCATGGCATGTTAGCAGTGTGGGGCGTCTCTGACCTGGCCTCTTTTCTCTCCCAGGGCACGTGGAACACCTGCGCAAACTGGATTTTTGCCCTACAACGTCTCAAAGGTACCTTCCAAGGCTTGAAGAATCCCCTGGCTTCTCCCACCAGCCTCACCCTTCAGCCAGAATGAAATTTAGCTTTCAAGTTATTCAGATACGTCACTGGCTCGTCCCAAGATTATATATTCCTAGTCTGTAGCCTCTTAGTTCTTTTTTTTAAAAAAATATTTATTTATTTATTTATTATGTATACAATATTCTGTCTGTGTGTATGTCTGCAGGCCAGAAGAGGGCACCAGACCCCATTACAGATGGTTGTGAGCCACCATGTGGTTGCTGGGAATTGAACTCAGGACCTTTTGGAAGAACAGGCAATACTCTTAACCTCTGAGCCATCTCTCCAGCCCAGCCTCTCAGTTCTTTAGGTCTTGGAATCCACCTTAATACTGGGGGCAGTGCTATATAACATAGTCAGGATTCAGTCATTCCTTATTACCCCACAGCGATTGCTTCCAGGTCTTTGCAGGGATTCCATGATGCTCAAGTTTCCTCTGTAGTAAGGTGTGCTATTGGCATGGAAGCTGTGTTCATCTCCCTGGAAACAATCTCTGGGTTACTTGTGAGATGTAAGTAGCTCCTGCTCTGTATCCTGTAGGGAGGAACGGCAAGAAAAGCATTCAGGACAGCTGCAAATTTTTCTTCCCAAGATTTTTTTTTCTTTTTTTTTTAGTCTGCTTTTGGCTGAATTTGAGTATGTGAAACCCATGGATGTGGGGGGGTCTGACTTTCTCCCTCTGTATGCAAGAGTTTTCTCCCCAATTCATCATGACTGGCCTCAGTGGGCTCAAAATCTAGGCCAGGCCCAGGCAGTCCTCTTGCCTCAGCTTCCCTAGTAACTGACACCGCAGGTGTGTGCTGGGTATGGTTCGGAATGTATTTTAATCCTTTGTGTGCTCTATAGAGTAAACGTAGGAAGACTGATGGGGCCCCTCGTAAGGCCCAACAAAAGAGTAGCCAGCCGATAGATGAGCAATATAACTTCCTTCATTTGTAAGACAGCAGAAATGAAATGCTTTAGGATTAAAGCTGGCAATGATGGAGAAAGAGCTAGTTAAGGACAATGCTTGGAAACCAGATAAAGAGTCACACACCTATAGTCTCAGTTACCCAAGGAGGCTGAGAGCGGAGGACTGTTCGAAGCTAGTTGGGAAACAGCCTGGTAGGTGGATGGAGAGAGGAAGGGATGAGGGAAAGAAGGGCCAGATATGGTAGACCCTACCAGGAAGTTCTCCCGAGGGCACTGTATTTTGGCAGACTGTATTCTGTACTGTAGGCTGTATGTGCTGAATTCCCAGGAAAATGCAAGAGAAATTTATGGATACAATAGAATAGGATTTCTGAGTTGGAGCCTAGATACTTGGTTAGTGAGTGGAATCTAAGTATAATATACAAACTGTTTAGAGGGACTAGATAGGTTAAGAGCACTGACTGCTCTTCCAGAGGACCCGGGTTCAATTCCCAGCACCCACATAGCAACTCAAAATTGTCTGTAACTCCAGTTCTGGGGGAATCTGATACCTTCACACCAATGCACATAAAATAAAGTTTCGTTTTTTTTTTTTTGTGGGTTTTTGTTTTGTTTTGTTTACAGTAAAGGATTACAATAAAAAGAAAGAATAAGGTTAAGGTTAAGAGTACCTTTTTTTTTAAAAAAAAATTACTTTATTGCCTATGTAAGTGTTTTGCCTGCATTATATGTTTGTGCACCATTGTGTTCCTTGTGCCCTCGGAAGAGCAGCAGTGCTCTTTACTACTGAGACATTTCTCCATCTCTCCAAACTTTTCTTAAAGAATTAGTGTAATGACAAACGCACTACTATTGGAAAGATTGTGATTTAACATAAGCATAGAACTTAGTGTCTATGGAGTTTCTTTCCTGAACAACATTTATGCTTGCCACCTACCCACTGAATTGTGGGTGCTGCATGAAGCCTAAGTCTGTCTGTACTGGGCAGCCTTGAGACAGGTTCTTTATCGTACTTGCACATTAGAATTATCTGGGGAGCTTTGAAAGATTCTGATGCCTGGCTTTTCCCTAGATCAAGTAAATCAGAATGTCTGGAAGTGTTGCTCCCAGATAGCAGTATTTTTTCTTTCTTTTTTTTTTTTTTAAGATTTTTAGATTGATTTAGTGTGCGTGTGCACATGTGTATGTATGTGCATATGAGAGTATGTGCATGCCACACCTCATGTGCAGAGGCCAGAGAACAACTTGCAGGAGTTGGCTCTTTCCCAATATCATATGTAGGTCACAGGTTCCCAACTCAGGTCATCAGGTTGGACAGCAAACTTGTACCTGATGAGCCATTTCAGTGGCTCAACATCAGTGCCTTTAATTTAATTTGATTGTTGTGTTTGTATATGTTTTTGTATATGATGTTTGTATATGATGTATGTGGACGCTTTTGCCACAGCGTTCCTGAGAGGACAACTCTATGGAGTCAGTTCTATTCTGTGGGTTCCAGAAATGGAATTCTGCAGGCTAGGTTTGCTGTGTCGGGTAGCAAGTGCTTTTACCTGCTGAGCCGTCTCTTTAGCCCATCAGTATTTTTTTTCTTTTTTTTTTTTTGAAAGATTCTTGTGCCAAGTGCTGGGATTAAAGGTGTGCACTACTATTCCCAGGCTCCATTGGTATTTTTCTTGTGTGTACTACCATGCCCAGACACCATTGGTATTTTTCTTATGTGCACTACCATGCCCACGCTATATTAATATTTTTCTTGTGTGCACTGCCATGCCCAGACTACACTGGTATTTTTCTTGTATGCACTACCATACCCAGACTCTGTTGTTATTTTTCTTGTGTGCACTACCATGCCCAGACTCCATTGTTATTTTTCTTGTGTGCACTACCATGCCCATGCTCCATTAATATTTTTCTTGTGTGCACTACCATGCCCAGACTCCATTAGTATTTTTCTTGTGTGCACTACCATACCCAGACTCCATTAGTATTTTTCTTGTGTGCACTACCATACCCAGACTCCATTAGTATTTTTCTTGTGTGCACTACCATGCCCAGACTCCATTAGTAGTTTTCTTGTGTGCACTACCATGCCCAGACTCCACTGATATTTTTATTTTTTAAAAGCTCTGGTTTTCTGTTTGTTTGCTTGTTTTTAATTAAGGTTGAGAACCACTGCGTAAAGCGTTCCCTCTAGAAAATGAAAAAACTAAGATCCATAGCTTAAGACCTTCTGATCTACATAGTTAAACATTTGAAAATTTTCTGGAGGAATAAAGGCAAGAGCTTGGGTTGGGCACAGTGAGGTAGATTGCGGAGGGAAGGCACCGAAATAAGCACACTTTCTGGGGAGCAGTTAGTGTTGTCATTACTATGGATGCCAGGAACGTACTGAATTTGCTGTATGGAAGACTTTGAACCTCCCAAGCTGGTCCTTTGATGTAGCTCAGGCAACACAAAAGATGTCTTGGTTTCCTTGCCACCTGGAGCTGTTCTGCTTCATTGATTAAAGTGTGTTTGTGCCCGCCCGGGTGGTCTTCTCTTCTGAGAGGGCAGGTGGGAATGCTTTCTTAGCAGGCATCGATAATGAAGCCTTTCTATAAGCCTATCAGAGGGATAAGTTGGATCTGACCACACCAAAGGTTTTGTTGTTACTGACAGACGAGAAAAGAGAGGTTTAAGTCTATCTTTATAGTCTTTCTCAGTGAAAACAAAATTACTTGGGGATGGGAAATGTCTGGGAGAGAGATTTCTCCTCTTTTTGGGTCCTTGTGAGTCATCTCCACAGCCCTAGACATGATCATTGATTTGGTCCCGTGTTTTACAAAATCAGGCATACATATGAAAGAGAGTCCTTGTGACAGGCAGGCGTGTAGGAGAGATTGGTGTCTGGCTCAGGTAGTTCTTTTTTAAACTTTAATTTATTTTTGGTGAGTGTAATGTGCCTTTGGGCTGGTGCATGGTAAAGCATGGGTGTGGGGGGCCAGGGGACAGCTTTCTGGAGTCAGTTTTCTCTTTCACCTTTGTGTGGGTTCCAGAGCTCAAACCTAGGCTGTCAGGCTCCTATGACACTTTCCTCACTGAGCCATCTCCCCTCCCCCCAGGTGCTTTTTATGAACTTGAGCGAGCCAAAGACAAGTAATGCATGAGGTTCATGACTAATTTTTCCATCTGCTGGAGATCACCAGTGCTTTTGTATAGGGGGCAAAATAAGAAAAAAGATAGGCCCAACTGGGAAAAAGCTGCAATTAGGAGGTTTGGGTTTATAGCCTAGGGGTAGAACACATGCCTAGTATTCATGGAGCCCTGCATTCGGCCATCCGCTCAAAACCTGATGCCTCCTGCGCCTCCCAGTTAGGAAGAGACTGGTAGTTTTGTTTTCTTCCTTTTAGTTGTTAAAGAAAAATCTATTGGACCTTGTTCAGAGTTTTCATGCTAAACCAATGTGAAGTTCTGGTCCTTCGTATAAGGATGTCCAGTTCATCTTTCTGCATCTTTAGGGGATGTTAGAAATAGAATTCTAATGAGAGTATCTTCCTTGGGTGCAATAGACTTTTCTTTGTAATGAATTATTTTTTCTCTACAGAAAGTATTTGGGGACTGGCTATGAAGATTGAGGTTAAGTTGTGCCTGCCATTATTGGAGTTGCAGCTTCCTATACCAAATGAAGTGTCTGTCATCTGCAAGTGTGGCAGCTAATGACCCGATCTGAACAAAAGACTTGCTCAAGCCACAGCTGACCCAGCTGAGATTAGAGAACTTTAGTCTGTGATAATCTAAAAAGCCTAAAAAGTATAGACAGCCTCAGGGACTCTCAGCACTCTGGGGACTTGGGAAGGTTTCAGAGGGAGGTTGCTCAAGTGATACAGGGGAAAGACAAAGGCAAGCTTTAGTGCGTCTCATTCTAGCAAGAACATTGGTAAGTGGCTAAGCACTGTTGGGGTTAGGTTTTAATTAGGGATAAAAGGATCAGCACATACAAGACTTATTTATTTATTTATTTATTTAGAGAGTGTGTTTCTCTGTAGCTTTGGAAGCTGTCCTGGATGTTATTCCTTTGCGGTGCCTTTAAGGACTAACCACGCCCACTTCCCAGCCACTTCTGACTCCCTTGCCGCCATCTTAACTCTCTCTCTTTGGTCTTTCTCTATTGGAGTGTGCACACGTGTTTCTCTCTGTCTCTATGTTTATATGTCTTTATGTTTGTCTATCTCTGTCTCTCTGTCTCTCTGTTTCTTTTTAAGTAATAAATGTTTATCCTTATGTTTATTTACTATGTCCTATGAGCCTTTTATCCACCGCACCGTACCCACCCGCCTGACTCGTCTGGCCACGTGGCTGGATCAGCCTGCCACCCTGGAGATCTTGCAGGGACCGACAGCCATCCTTGTCGGACTAGCGGCTGCTCTGCAAGCCTGCCAGGGAACACACCTGCCAGTTTTTTTGTTTTGTTGTTTTTTTTTTTAGATTTATTTATTATGTATACAACATTCCTTCCATGTATGCTTGCATGCCAGAAGAGGGCATGAGATCTCATTACAGATGGCTGTGAGCCACCATGTGGTTGCTGGGAATTGAACTCAGGACCTCTTGAAGAGCAGTCAGTGCTCTTAACCTCTGAACCATCTCTCCAGCCCCCCGCCTGTTTTTTTTAAAGAACAATACTGGAACTTACTCTCTAGACCAGGCTGGCCTCGAACTCACAGAGATCCGCCTGCCTCTGCCTCCCGAGGGCTGGGATTAAAGGCGTGCGCCACCACTGCCCAGCTTACTAGATGGTTTTTTTTTTTTAAGTGTTCATACTGCAACACTGTTGCTCTTTCTTTTTTTCATTTTATTTTGTTCTTAGATTTATTTATTTTATTATGTATAGTGTTCTGCCCATATGTATCCCTGCAGGCCAGAAGAGGGCACCAGATCTCATTACGGATGGTTGTGAGCCACCATGTGGTTGCTGGGAATTGAACTCAGGACCTCTGAAAGAACAGTTAGTGCTCTTAACCACTGAGCCATCTCTCCAGCCCCTTACAAGATGTTTTTAAAGGAACAGTGGAAACTAAAAGTTAATTTGCTTTAGGATAATACCCACGTTCATATTTGTTTAATATTCCAGAACATAAAACTAGTGAACACCTAAGCTGACTTTAAATTTTTTTTAATTCTGGGGGTGCTGGAGAGATGACTCGGCAGTTAAGAACTCTGGAGGACCTGGGTTAGATTGCCAGCACCCACACCGTGGTTCACAACTGTCTGTAACTCAAGTTCCAGAGGATCTGACACCTTCTGGCCTCCTTGGGTACTAGGTGTGCATATGGTACACAGACACATGCAGGCGTAATACTTGTAAAATAAATTTTAAGAAAATTTAATCCCAAACATTGGGATTAAAGGTGTGCGCCAGTACTCCCTGGCCTCTAGTGGCTTAGTTTTGCATTCTGATCATCAGGCAAGCTTTATTTATTAAAATACAAATAAAATAGCACTATAAGAGGTGGTATTTCTGACTCTTTCCTGCTCCTGGGACCCTGTTCCTCCTACTGGTTACCTCTTCCAGCCTTTTGTTTTGTTTTGTTTTGTTTTGTTTTTTTGTTTTTGTTTTTCAAGACAGGGTTTCTCTGTAGCTTTGGAGCCTGTCTTGGAACTAGCTCTTGTAGCACAGGCTGGCCCTCGAACTCACAGAGATCCGCCTGCTTCTGCCTCCCAAATGCTGGGATTAAAAGCGTGTGCCACTACGGCCTGGCCTCATCCAGCATTAATATGAGGATTTGTGTCTAGTCTTATTGCATCTTGTTATGCCATTCAGTTGATACTACTGAGAAGCCTGCTCTTTTCTAAAGGGAAACAGGAGCAGTGGATTTGGGGGAGAAGTGGGGGTAGGGGAAAATGGGAGATGTAGACGGAGGGGAAGCTGTGGTTGGTCAGGATATATTTTATGACAGAAGAATTTTTTTTAATATTTATTTATTTGTTTGTTATGAATACAATATTCTGTCTGTGTGTATGCCTGCAGGCCAGAAGAGGGCACCAGACCCCATTACAGATGGTTGTGAGCCACCATGTGGTTGCTGGGAATTGAACTCAGGACCTTTGGAAGAGCAGGCAATGCTCTTAACCTCTGAGCCATCTCTCCAGCCCCTGACAGAAGAATTCTTAAAAAATCAAAAAATAGTTTGAGAAACTTGTCTGGTTTTGGAGTGGTCAAGACAGAAACTGTCAAACCTAAACCATGGAGGCAGAAGACAGAGAACTTAAAACAGACAGATATTTTAATGATTTTTCCAGGGACAGTTGGATAGTGGTTTTCTTTCACTTAATGTTTGAAGCAACTGGGAAGATTCTGTTTATTTTAAAATTAATTGCACTTACTGTGTGTGTGTCTTTGTGTGCACATACACACCAGGGTGTGTTTGTGGATGTAGTCATTTCTCTCCTACCACAGGGGTTGTGAGGCTTGAACTCAGGCAGTTGGGCTTGTTGACAAGGACCTTTACAAACCATCCTGCTTCTGTCTGTTAAAAGAATCAGTTACCCAGTTGTTCAAGCCATTCACTTATTTTGTTTGGTTCTCAATAGGTTTGTAAGTTCAAAGAATATAACCCCTGGTTGAAGGTTTGAGGTAACAGTAGGTGAGTATAGTGTTTTGTTTTGTTTTTAATGATAAAGCCTTTGAATGTAGCCCAGGCTTGCTTTGAACATAAGATCTTTCTGCTTCTCCAGTGCTGAGATAATAGACCCAAACCATCCCTGATGGTGGCTTTTGTTCATTTGTTTTGAGACAGACTCTTGTTATGTATCCCAGGCTGACCTTGAACTTGTCTTCCTGCTGACCACATGCAGTATAGGTATAGGTATAAGGTTGGTACTGCCACTCCCCATTTAGTTGTTCTTGGTGCTCTTATAAGTACTGACCAGCCTGCTTGCTGACTGGCCAAGCACATCTAGAGCCTAGCTCGGTGGCACATGACTGTAATTCCAGTAATTTCGAAGGCTGAGACAGGAGGAAGATGAGTTTGAGGACAACCTAACCTAAACAGTATCCAGCTTAGGAGGAAATTTCCTAGATGTGGCAAATGTTAAAATTAAGAGCTGATTTTCTAACTGAGTATAGAGGCATCTCCCTGTAGACCCAGCACTGGGAGACAAGGGCAGAAGGTCCATAAGTTGGAAGCTAGCCAGAACTATATAGCAAGAGTAATCTGAGTCTTATTTAAAAAAGAATTAGTGTAGCATTTTCATAAAAGAAAAGTAGAAAATACAGAGCTAGGGAGGTGACTTGGTCAGTAAAAGTGCTTGAGAACCCAGTGGCTTTCTAGCACCCAGATTAAAAGCTGGAGTGGCTGACTGGCCAATCTAACCAAATCAGTGAGTTCCAGGTTTGATGAGAAAGAGACCCTGTCTCAGAAAATAATGAGGAGAGATTAATTGATTGAGGAGAGATTCAACATCAACTTCTGGTCCCCACACAGATGTGTATGTGTGCATGTGTGTACACACACACACACAGAAAGAGAACTGTATCTTTAGCTGTGGATATTGACCCAGGAAGGAGCTGATTGATCTCTCTCTCTCTCTCTCTCTCTCTCTCTCTCTCTCTCTCTCTCTCTC